CTCTAATTCTGTAGTAGGATGGTGTGTTAACCATTTAACTATAGTATAAAGGTTGCAGGAAAAGGGTATTAAAAATAACTATAGCTGCTATCATAATGAATGCACAATATAAAAAGAAGTAAATTATGACATTAAAAATATAAGGATGGGACAGTAAAATGGTGGAGCTCTTGTAGGTGATGAAACTTAAGTTTCTATCAACTTAAAATGGATTGTTTTACCTGTGAGATGTTTTATGTATGCCTCATGATAGCTACAGAGCAGAAACCTAGAATAGATTCACAAAAGATAAAGAAAGGGGAAATAGTGTATACCACCACTGCAAATCACCAATTTACAAAGGTAGGTAGAAACAAAAAGAAAAATAAACAATAGAAATACAAAAGAAATGGAAAGCAATTAATAAAATTGCATTAGGAATTCTGTACATATTAATAATTAATCTAAATATAAATGGATTGAATTCACCAATCAAAAGACAGAGTGGTTAGATTGATTAAAAAAAAAGAGTCAACTATGTGATGCTGTCACATCAGTTTTAAGGAGACACATAGGCTCAAATTGAGGGCATGGAAAAGATATTCCATGCAAGTGGAAACCAAAAGAAAATGGGGTGAGCTACACTTATATCAGACAAAATAAGCTTTAAGCTGAAAATGGTAATAAAAGACAAAGAAGATCAATATATAATAATACAATAATAGTGGGACTGCAATATTCCGCTTTCAGCAATGGATAGATCATCCGGACAGAAAATCAATAAGGAAGCATTGGATTTGAAACAGACATTAGACCAAATAGTCCAAACAGACATTTGTAGAACATTCCATGCAATAGCAGCAGAATACACATTCCTCTCAAATGCATATGCAATATTCTCCAAGATAGATCATGTGATAGAACACAAAACAAATCTAAGCAAAATTTAAGATTGAAACTATACCAAATATCTTTTCTGACCACAGGGTATGAAACTAGAAATTAACAACAAGAGTAAAGCTGGAAAATCTACAAATGTGTGGAAATTAAGCAACATACTCCTGAACAAGCAATAGGTTAAAGAAAAATCAAAAGGGAAAACAAAAAATAACTTAAAACAAATGAAGTGGAAACACAACATACCAAAACCTATGCTTCAAAAGCAGTTCTGACAGACAAGTTTATAGTGAGAAATACATATATGATGAAATTAGAAAAATCTCAAATAGACAAACTAACTACACCTTAAGCAACTACAAAAAAGAAGAACAAACTAAGCCCAAAGTTAGCAGAAGGAAGGAAATAAGAAAAATCAGATTGGAAATAAATGAAATAGACATCAGAAAAACAAAAGAGAAAAAATCAATGAAATGAATAGCTAGTTTTCCAAAAAGATACACATATTTGACAAATCTTTAGCATGACTAAGAAAAAAACCACAGAAGACTCACATAAATAAAATCAGAAATGAAAGAGGAGACATTAAAGCTAGTACCACAGAATTACAAAGAATCATGAGAGACTACTATAAACAATTATATGCCAATAAACGGATAACCTAGAAGAAATGGATATATTCTTAGAAACACACAGCCTTCCAAGATTGAATCAGAGAGAAATAGAAAATCTGAACAGACCAATAACAAGTAAGGATACTGAATTGGTAATCAGAAATCTCTCAACACAGGAAACCCAAAGACCAGATGACTTCACAGGTAAATTGTACCAAATATTAAAGAAGAATTAACAACAACCTTTTCAAACTCTTGCAAAAGTTTGAAAAGGAGGGAATGCTCTCAAACTCATTTTATGAGAACAGCACTACCCTGATAAGCACTACAAGATAACTATAGAATAACATCCCTGGTGAATATAGATGGAAACGTTCTCAACAAAATATTAGCAAACTGAATTCAAGAACACATTAAAAGGATTACACAATGTGACCAAGTGAGATTTACCTCTGGGATGCAAGGATGGTTCAACGTATAGAAATCAATAAATGTAATATATCACCCTAATGGAATGAAAGATAAAAATCACATAATTGTTGCAATAGATGCAGGAAGAGCATTTGACAAAATACAACGTCCTTTCATGATAAAAATCCTAAACAAATTGGGTATAGAAGTAACATACCTCAACATAGTAAAAGTCATGTATGACAAACCCATAGCCAACATTATACTCAAGTGTGAAAAACTGAAAGCCTTTCCTCTAAGATCAGGAACAAGACAAGGGTGCCCACGCTCACCACTCTTATACAACATAGTACTGGAAGTCTGAGCTAGTGCAATTAGACAAGACAAAGAAATAAAAGACAGCCAAATTGGAAAGGAAGAAGTAAAACTGTCATTATTGCAGATGATACACTAACCAAAAAACTATTGGAACTAATCAATAAATTTAGTAAATTTGCAGGGTATAAAATCAGCATACAGAAATCAATTGAATTGCTATACATTAACAATGAAACATCAGAAAGATAAATAAAACTATTCCATTCACAGTAGCATCAAAAACAGTAAAATACTTAGGGATAAATTTAACCGAGAAAGTGAAAGATGTTTACCATAAAAACTACTAGACTTTGATGAAAGAAATTGAAGAAGACACAAACAAATGGAAAGGTGTCCCATGTTCAGGGACCAGAAGAATTAATCGTTAAAATGTCTATACCATCCAGAGCTATCTATAGGCTAAACATAATCCTTATCATAATTCCAATGGCATTTTTCATAGAAATAGAGGAAAACAATCCTAAAATTTGTATGAACCACAAAAGAACCCAAATAGACAAAGCAATCCCGAGAAAGGATAACAAAGCCAGAGGCATTACATTTTCTGAGTTAAAAGAGTTCTACAAAGTTATAGTAATTAGAACAGTATGATACCTGCATAAAAACAGACACATAGACCAATGAAACAGAAGAGACAGCCCAGAACTTAACCCCTGAATATACAGTCAACTAGCATTTGACCAAGGAGCCAAGAACACTCAACACACTCAATGTGGTAAGGATAGTCTCTTCAACAAATGGTATTGATAAAACTGAATAGCTACATGCAGAAAAATGAAATTGGGCCCCTATCTTATACTACCTTCAAAAATTAACTCAAAATGGACTAAAGATGTAAATATAATACCTGATACTGTAAAAATTCTAGAAGTAAACATAGGGAAGAAGTTTCTTGACATTGTTCTTTGTAATGATTTTTTTTTTTTAACATGACACCCAAACACAAAAAAGTAAAGCAAAAATCTGTAAGTGGGGCTACATCAAATTAAAATGCCTCTGCATAGCAAAAGAAATAATCAAAAAAATGAAAAGGTAACTTTCAGAATGGGAGAATATATTTGCAATATATATATTGGATAAGAGGTTAATATCCAAAATATATAAAAAACTCAGACACCTCAGTAACAAAAACCCCAAACAATCCAATTAAAAAATGGGCAGTGGAACTTAAATAGACACTTTTGAAAGAAGACATCCAAATGGCCAACAGGTATATGAAAAGATGTTCAACATCGCTAATCACCAGGGATATGAAAAATCAAAACCACAATGAGATATCACCTCATACCTGTTAGAATGGCTGTCATTAAGAAGAAAAGACACAACTAGTGCTGGTGAGGTGGAGAGAAATGAACCTTCTGCCCTATTGGTAGGTATGTAAATTTGTTCTGCCACTATGGAAAACAGTATGAAGGTTCCTGAAAAAATTAAAAATAGAACTACCATATGATCCAGCAATTGTCCTTCTGGGTATATATCCAAAGGAAGTGAAAACAGGATATCTAAGAGATATATACCATGTTTAAACATGGGATACATGAGATATATCCCATGGTTATTGCAGCATTATTCACAATAGGCAAGATATGGAAGCAGCTTAAGTGTCAGTCAATGGCTAAATGGATAAAAAAGACGTGGTGTATATATATATACACACACACACACAACAACAGAATATTATTCAGCCACAAGAAAGAAGGAAATCCTGCCATTTCTGTCAACATGGATGGACCTGGAGGGTATTAACTAAGTAAGATAAGACAGACAGAGAAACAGAAATACTGTATGATATCCCTTGTATGTAGAATCTAAAGCTGAACTTGTGAAAACAGAGAGTAGAAAGATGGCTACTAGGGGCTGGCAGGTGGGGGAATTAGGGAGATGTTGTTTAAGGCTACAAACTTGCAATCAGTAGATAAATAAGTCCTGGACATCTAATGCTCAGCATGGTGATTATAAACAACAGTATTGTTTTGTAAATTTCAAAGTTGTTAAGAGACTAGATCTTAATTGTTCCCACCACAAAAAAGAAATGATAATTATGTGACATGATAGAGGTGTTACCACTCTATGGTGGTAATCATATTGCAATATGTAAATGTATTAAATCAACCTGCTGTACACCTTAGCCTTATACAATGTTATATGTCAATTATATCTCAATAAAAATAAGTAAATAAATTGCACTTCTAACCTGCTGTAAGCTTGTCACTCACTTCTAACTCTTCATCTGCCCCTAGTTAATATCCTTTGTATTATGAATAACTGTGTATGTATTATGAACTCTGTATGTATTATGAACAACTGTCTATGTACTGATGTCATGCTAATCTGTTTATATAGACCCAAATGCTCTCTTGTATTTAATGTTTCACAAATGTTATGTTTTTTTCCCCCACTGCCTTCAGGATATATCCTTGGACAGCAGATGAGATGAGATTTCAACTTCATGAGATGAGTCTCAACTTCACACGTTGTTCAGGTTTCCATTCTTCCTGTAATTCCTGTCCTACTGAATGGCAGTACTATTCTTTGAGGCCAGTGGATGTCCTACTCATTCTTCTTCCTCCTAACATGAATATAATTCACTATGTCTTTTCAATTTACTCATTTAAATCTCTCTTCAATCTCACTTCTTTTTCATCCCTCACCAGCTTTCCCTTTGATTTTGCCTTCATTGTGTTTTTATTGGATTGCTATAATGGTCATCTCATCTTACAGTCATTTTCATCGTGTGCTTTCCATCTTCCCCAATGTTACTAACATTTGAAATAGACTTTGATAGCAGACTCAGAAATTCAGACCAACCTTTCTAACTGAAGATATCTAAAATAAGTAAATATAATTTTAAGGCAAATTCTTTAAAGCTTCAAGTAATTGACTAGAGAGTGAAAAATATCTGATATAAGAGGTCAATAATTTGAAGTAATAATGACTGAAACATTTCTATTACCAATTAAAGACAAAATGTAAGGCCTTGCCAAACACCAAGCAGGACAAATAAAAGAAATTCACATTCAGACATGCCATCATGAAAATGCAGAAAAACAACAACAAAAAAACCAACAAAAACAAAGCATCCAGAGAAAACAAGAGTTTATCTTTAAAGAACTAACAATTAGAGAGACAGGTGACATTTCAACAGCATTGATGGAAGCCAGAAGAAAGTGGAGTGGAATCTTTACTCTATTGATAGAAAATAGCTGAGAAATGGGATTCTATACAGAGTGAGATATCCTGAAAGAATTATGGTGGAGAAACCATAATTAAAAACAACAAATTGACAGAATTTGCCACTAGGAACTTCACACTGAAGAAATTACTAAAGTGTTTTTAAGGAGAAGGAAATGTCACCAACTGAAGGTGAGAGATGCACGAAGAAATGATGAGCAACAAAACAAATAAATACATAGATGAATCTAAATAAATGCATAAAAGAGTGGGGCTTAAAATATATGATAACAATTGCATTAAGGCTGGAGTTTGTGGCCAAATGGATTAAGTGCCCCCAGGTCCTTGCAATATTTGGAGGATGTGTCAAATGTTCTATTTATTTTGGTATCTTTGGTTAAGTCAAGGATATATGTTGCAATTTCTAGTATAATCTCTAAATAGAAGATTAAAAGAATGTGTAACTGTCAAACTAACAGAAGAAAAATGAAATAATAAAAACACTTGATTATACAACTTATCAAAATTTGTGGGATACAGTGAAAGTGGTGCTTAGAGGGAAATTTATAGCATTGAATGCATATATTAGAAAAGAATAAATGTCTGAAATCAATAATCTATGGAAACAAAGAAAAAATTAAATCCAAATAAGCAAGAGAAGAAATAATGAAAATTTAAGAGGAAATCAATAAAATTGAAAAGAAAAAATCAGTAGAGAAAATAAATGAAAGAGAAATTTGGTTTTAAAAAGGTCAATAAAACTGATAAGCACTACTAAGAAAAAAGGAGAAAAGACACAAACTACAAATATCAGAACTAAAATAGGGGTTGTGAATAATGATCCTATAGACATTAAGAGAATAGGAAATGAGTACTATGAACAACTCTATGCTCACAAATTTGATAACCTAGATGAAATGGACCAATTCTTTGAAAGACACAATCTACCAATGTTTGCATGAGAAGAAATAAATAATCTGAATAGGCCTATGTCTATTAAAATATTGAATCAATAATTAAAAATCTTCCAAAACAGAAAGCACCAGGCCCTGATGGGTTCACTGGTAAATTCTATCAAACATTTAAGGAAGAAATTGTACCAATTATCTACAATCTCTTTCAGAGAGCAAAAGAAGAGGGAATACTTCCTAACTCATTCTATGAGGTCAGCATTACCATAATACCAATACCAGACAAAGACATTACAAGGAAGGAGAACTATAAACCTATATCTCTCATGAGCAAAATATTAGCAAATCGAATCCAACAACATTTAAAAGAATTATACACCACAACCAAGTGGGATTTATCTCAGGTATGCAAAGCTGGTTCAACAATCAAAATGCAAATTAATGTCATACATCCTAACAGACTAAGAAGAAAAATCACATGGTCATATCAATAGATGGAGAAAAAGCATTTTACAAAATCTAACAAACATTCATTGTAAAAATGTCTCTGCAAACTAGGAATAGATCTTCCTAAACTTGATAAAGGGTATTTAAAAATACCCTATAGCTAACATACTAATGGTGAGAAACTAGAAGCTTTCCCCACTAAAATTAGAAGCAGGCAAGTATATCCTCTGTCACCACTCCTATTCAGCGTCCTACTGGAAGTCCTAGCTGATGGGTTAAGATAAGAAAAGGAAATAAGGAATATACCAATTGGAAAGGAAGGAATAAAACTGTTTTTGTTTGTAGGTGACATGACTGTCTATGTAGAAAACCCCCCAAAATGAACAACAAATCTCTTGGAATTAATAAGTGAATATGGCAAGACTGCAACATACAAGGGTTAACATACAAACATCATTGTTTCCATATACCAGCAATAAACAATTGGAATTTGAGGTTACAAACACAATGTAATTTACATTGGGACCCCAAAAATAAAATATTTAGGTATAAGCCAAACAAAATATGCACATTACCTACATAAGGAAAACTACAAAACTCTAGTGGAAGAAATCCAAGAAGACCTACATAATTGGAGAGATATTTTATGATCAATATTGTTAAGACATCAGTTCTTTGGGACTTGATTTAGAGAGTCAAGTCAATGTAATCTCAATCAAAACTCCAGGAAGTATTGTGTGTATACAACAACTTGATTCTAAAGTTTACAAGGAAAGACAAAAGACCCAGAATAGCCAACACAGTATTGATGGTGAAGAACAAAGTCAGAGTCCTGACACACCTAGACTTCAAGACTTAGTATAAAGCTCTAAAGTAATCAAGACAGTGTGGTAGTGTTGAAAGAATAGACAAAAAGAATTGATGAACAGAATAGAGGACCCAGAAATAGACTCTAAAATATAGACAACTGATCTTAAAGGGAGTAAAGGCAATCCAATTGGGGAAAGGACAGTCTCTTTAACAAATGGTGCTGGAATAACTGGACATGCACATTCAAAAAAACAAATCTAGGGGCTGGCCCGGTGGCGCAAGTGGTTAAGTGCACGTGCTCCGCTGCGGCGGCCTGGAGTTCGCAGGTTTGGATCCCAGGTATGCACTGACGCACCGCTTGGCAAGCCATGCTGTGGCAGCGTCCCATATAGAGTGGAGGAAGATGGGCACGGATATTAGCCCAGGGCCAGTCTTCCTGAGCAAAAAAAGGAGGGTTGACAGATGTTAGCTCAGGGCCAATCTTTCTCACAAAAAAATAAATAAACAAATAAATAAATAAATCTAGAGAGAGACCTTAGACCCTTCATGAACTTAATTCAAAATGGATCATAGACTAAATATAAAATGCAAAACTATAGAAGTCTTAGAAGATAACATAGGTGACATTGGGATTGACCATGACTCTTTAGATACAACATCAAAAGCATGATTCATGAAAGAAAAAATTGATAAGTGGACTTCATTAAAATTAAAAATTTCTGATTAACAAACCTAAAAGGAGATATTAACAACAACACAGTAATAGGAGGGGATCTTAACACCCCACTTACATCAATGGATAGGTCATCCAGACACAAAGTCAACAAGGAAATAGTGGACTTAAACAAAAATGTTGTTGAGATGGACTTAATAGATATATATAGAGCACTCCATCCAAACAGAGCAGATTACACATTCTTCTCAAGTGTGCATGGAACATTCTCAAGAATAGATCATATGTTGGGGAAAAAGGCATGCCTCTATAAATTTAAGAAGATTGAAATCATAACAAGCATCTTTTCTGACCATAGTGCCATGAAGCTAGAAATCACCTACAAGAAAAAAACCAGGAAAGTGACAAAGATATGGTGACTAAACAACGTGCTACTGAACAACCAATGGATCACTGATGAAATTAAAGGAGAAATCAAAACATATCTGAACACAAGTGAAAATGAAAATACACCATACCAACTCATATGGGATGCAGCAAAAGCGGTCCTGAGAGGGAAAC